AGAGAGCAATATAAAGAAGAAAAAACATTCATTAGAACCCTGCTGCTTAGAGATAACCACTTTTAATTTTGACACTTTCTAATTTTTTTCACATATACATACTTTAACACAGTAGAATAATACTGTATCACTTACCATATGTCACATTTGTTAAAAATTCTTTGTAAACAATTTAAATCCCTAAAAATTTGATAATATAATTTGTATCTTTCATAATTGAAATCCTCAGTTTTAGGTATTCAGGTGTTTCTATTTTTTTTCTGTTATAATTAGCACTGTAATCTTTGGGTAAAAAAGTTTTTATCCACTTTTCTGATTACTTCATAGCACTACAATTATTGATTCAAAAGGTATGGCCATTTGAATCAATTGTTAAGGCTTTTGATACACATTCTTCTATTGCTTTTTTTAAAAAATAAGCCAATTTATACTCTCACAGGCAGTCCATGAGATTTTCCATTACACTTTACCATTAAGCATGATTTTTACAAATCTTGTTAATTTCATAAGATAAAATGGCATCTAAGTGTCTTTTTAATTCTCAGCCTTGAATATTAATGCCGTTTTCCATTTCCCTCCACGCATTAGCCATTTATAACTTTGCCTTTTGAATTTCCCATGTGTGCCTTTTGAGAGGGGCTTATCTGAACGCTTTTATGAAGTAGTTTTGAAGCTAGGCAATATCACCTGCCCTTCAACAGGCCTCTACTTGGTACTAGAGCTGTCCCAGAATCTTAACCCACGCTGCTCACTGTAATGAAGTCTTCACTGTTCTGAATAAACAGAGAAACTTGTTCCAATTATTCACTTTCTACTAACAAAATTTTGATATATCAAGTGCATATGGATATATTTAATTTAACCATCTAAGTCTGAAAGCAGTTTTCTTTGTGGAATAAAATAAAATTTTCACTTAAAAAAAAAACAGCATAATTTTTGTGAGGAAGGAAGTAGCTCTTTACTTCCAACACAATTTTGGTATAAATGTGCTTATTTCTCTCGGCTGCATTTATTAAATTCAGGACACAGAGGAAATTAAAAATACATACATTTGCCAACTGATTTATTCTAAAATTTACATCCATGGTAAAACGAAATGTTGTGCTTTGAATAAACTTTAGAGGTTTATTCTAATCAAATACCTATATGTTCAGACAAGGGAAACCTTAACAAAATTGGTTTCTAAAGCCGTGGTTAGTGGCAGTGCTCGGTTTTAGAGAGAGAAATTGACTAGAATGGTTAGATTTTGCAGGGGTGTTGGTGATAAATAATAAGTTAAGAGAGCCAATTGCATATCATGAAATAAAGACCATGCAACTCTTAATCCTTTAATCTGCTTCCCTCCAACATCCTCATGTAGCTGACCTCACTGTCCTTGTTCCTTGTCTCCTAGCCACAGTGGAAGAGGTGTCCTGTGCCTTTCCAAGGATAACCCCTGCCCCTCCCTTCTTCATCCTTTCTCCTCACACCTCCACATGTCTTCTCTTTCTTCCCCCTCCATCTGTTCCTCGAACTAAAAATACATTTGACTTTCCTTTTCCTAAAAAAATAAAATAAAATAAAAAAAGCTTCATTCTAGGCTTTCCTAGTTAACATTACCCTATTTGTTCCCTTTTCAAACTCTTTGAAATGTGCACTGTGTTTTTCTTTCCCTCCAATTTCCTTCCCACACACATATATTATGGTAGCTGCTGCTTTGACTCTATCCTCACCTCTAATTAGGTTTGCCTATTCTTGAACTTTGTATAAATGGACTCATACAGTGTGTACTCTTTTGTATCTGGCTTCTGTTATGCATTTATTCTTTTTTATTGTGGTAAAATATATGGAACACAAAATTTACCATTCTAACCACTTTAAATATATGGTTCAGTGGTATTAAGTGCATTCACATTGTTGTGCAACCGTCACCACCATCTATTTCCAGAACTTTTTCATCTTCCCAAAATGAAACTCTATACCCATTAAACAATAACTCCCCATTGTCCTCTCCCCACCAGCCCCTAGTAAACTATATTCTATTTTCTGTCTCTATGAGTTTGCCTATTTATTCTAGATACCTTATATAAGTAGAATCATACAATAGTTGCCCTTTTCTGTCTGGCTTACTTTACTTGTAATATCTTCAAGATTCATTCATGTCATAGCATGGATCAGAACTTCAATCCTCTTTAAAACCAAATAATATTTTATTGTATGCATGTATCATATTTTGCTTACCCATTCTTCCACAATGGACATTTAAGTTGTTTTCACTGATTAGCTATTATGAGTAGTGCTGTATGAACACTGGTAAACTGGTATCTGAGTCTCTGCTTTCAAATCTTGTGAGTATATCCTTAGGAGTGGAATTGCTGGATCATAAGGTAATTCTGTTTAACTTATTGAGGAATCACCGAACTTTTTTCCACAGCAGCTGCACCATTTTACTTCCCCAGCAATGAGTTTCTTCACACTCTCACCAATGTATTTTCTTTACTTTCTTTCTTTTCCTCTTTTTTTTTTTTTTTTTAAACTATAGCCATCTTAACGAGTGTGATGTGGTATTTCACACTGTGGTTTTGACTTCTGCATTTATTCTGAAAATGCTCTCTGTCCTTGGTTTCTGCCTTCATATTGGTTCCTTCATTTATTTTCCATTCTTGGCTGACTCCTTCTTCTCTCTCTGCCTCTTTCATGTGGGTTTCCCTGGTTTCCTTCTCGGCTTCTGCTTTCTTTGCTCACTGTCCCTGGAAATTTTATCCACTCCCATGATGACAGAATTATGCCCATGTAGGTAACTCACAAATTTGTATTTCTCTAGTCAGGACCTCTCTCTGAGCATAGTATTTGCCTTAAAATCATCATCTTTGGAAAATAAGAGTATGAAGTTTGAAATTTGGTTAAGAATATGAACATTATTAATGATCTTCATTGCTGAAGAACGGGATTGGGGAGTAAGAAAGAAAGAAAAGACTTCTGTGTTCTTCTATGATAGTAGAAAAACACATAACATAAAATTTACCATCGTAATCATTTTTTAATAGACTTTTTTAGAGCATTATTAGGTTCACAGCAAAATGAGTGAAAGGTATAGAGATTTCCCATCTATCCCCTGCCTTCACACATGTACAACCTCCTCCACTATCAAAATCCTACACCAGACTAGTACATTTGTTGCCATTGATGAACCAACACTGACACATCGTTATTACCCAGAGCCTGTGGTTTATATTAGGATTCACTCTTGGTGTTGTACATTCTATGGGTTTGGACAAATATTTAATGATGTATATTCACCGTTGTAGTATCCCATCAAGCATTTTCACGGCCATAAAAATCTTCTGTGCTCCACCTATTTGTCCCTCTCTTCCTCCTAACCCTTGGCAACCATTGTGTTTTACTGTGTCCAGAGTTAGCCTCTTCCAAAATGTCATATAGTAGGAATCATACAGTATATAGCCTTTTCAGATTAGCTTCCTTCACTTAGTAATATGTAATATATGGTTCCTCCCTGTCTTTTCATTGCTCGATGGCTCATTTTTGTTGTTGTTGTCGTCGTTGTTGTTTTGGCGCTGAATAATATTCCATTATCTGGTTGTACCATAGTTTATTTATCCATTCACCAAATGAGGGACATCTTGGTTGTTTCCAAGTTTTGGCAATTATAAATGAAACTGCTATAATCACCTGTGTGCATGTGAGTGTAAGTTTTCAATTCATTTGTGTACGATCAAGGACTGTCATTGCTGGGTCATATGGTAAAAGTATGTTTAATTTTGCAAAAAAGTGCTAAGCTGTCTTACAAAGTAGCTGTATCATTTTCATTTCCACCAACAATAAATAAGAATTACTGTTGCTCCACATCTTTGCCAGTCTTTGGTGTTGTTAGTGAAAGAAAGAATTTATAAGTTGGACTTCATTAAAATTAAAACTCCTGTTCTTCGAAAGATATTGTCACGAGAATGAGAAGAGAAGCCACAAATTGGAGAAAATATTTGTAAAAGAGATATCTGATAAAGGGCTGTTATCCAAAGTATACAAAGAACTCTTAAAAGTCAACAATAAGAAAAACAAACAACTTGATTTAAGAAAGGGCAAAAGAGTTGAATAAACACCTCACCAAAGAAGATATACAGATGGCAAAGAAGCACATGAAAAGATACTCAACATAACATTTCCTGAGGGCACTGCAAATTAAAACAATAAGATACTACTACACAGTTAATAGGCTGGCCATAATCCATTGTAACCATTTTTAAGTATGCACTTTAGTAGTGTTAAACATATTCACATTGTTGTGCAACCACTCTCCAGAAGTCTTTTCATCTTGCAAAACTGAAACTCTGTAACCCCTCCTCCCAGTCCCTGGCAACAACTATTCTACTTTCTGTTTCCATGATTTTGACCACTTTAGTTACCTCATAGAAATAGAAATATACGGTATTTGTTCTTTTGTGACTGGCTTATTTCACTTAGCATAATATCTTCAAGTTTCATCCATGTTTTAGCATGTGACAAGCTTTCCCACATTTTTTAATGTTTTAAAGTATTAATATTTTCAGTTAGGTCACATATGCTGTGCTGTTTGCTTGCCCCATCTACTCCTCTACCCAGTCATCTATCCCCAACCCTTCCCTCCCTGCTGAGTTCCAGAAAGCTGACCTCTATGGATTGCCTCACCATTGCTCTCTGGTTTCTGGCTGGGTCCAGCTAATGGGAAGCACCATTGGGAGACTGGCGAGCACAGGGTATTTATTTATTTATTTCCCCACACAAGCACTGCCTCCCTGCTTCACCTGTGCTCTGGCAGTGACTGTTCTTCATTCCTCTTTCTCAGTACCAGCTCACTCTAGGCTCCTCCAATACTATCCTCCCCGCTGCCCCCGCCCCCATTACACCTTTCTGGTCCCTTTAGGCCTAGGGCTAGGAATGACTCCTGCTGTTGCTAGTCCCTGCATGCTTTACCACCACCACCCCAACCTTTATTTTTGTACCTTTAACCTAACCCATACCTTGGTAAACAATATCTTTATTAAAGTCTCTTCATTAAACCATTTTGAGTACGCTGTCTGTTCATATGGCTTCTGCTGTGATCCTGAGTTACACACATGCAGCTATAAAAAAAAAAATTAATGATGTAGAAGGCTAAGAAGTGAAAAATAAAAATTGTGTCTACTCTCATAGCTCTTTATTCCCTTCCATTCCATATGCAGTTGTCATTTTGTATTGTTCTTGGGGGTTTTTTTGGGGGGCGGGGGAGGAGGAGCGGTAGGAATGACCTTGACCTCATCCCTTGGATGAGCTGTAATTGGTCTCATACAATCATGTTAAATGCTTCTCCCTTGCTGGTAGCTGGTTTAGAGATCCAGGCCTCAGCCATCAGGGTAGGGCATCCCCCTACCCTAGGAACTGGACTGAGAGTGAGCTCCGGAGTCACTGCCGAGATCAGTTCAGGCTAATGACATGTTTGGGAAAATTTGCTGGGGTGTTTCCTCTCAAGAAGATCATGCTCGGAAATGAGGCCCAGAACTGCTAGAACCGGTTTAAGGAGTCAGCAGAGGAAGCTGAGACAGGAGAATCAGGGAAACAGATTGTTGGGCCACTGCAATAAGCCACTAAGCCAACTCTAAACCTATTGGCTTCTCCACTTCCAACTTTCTTGAAACAAAAGCATCCTAATCAATATATGTATATACTGTAAAACACACATACACAAACGGGGTCATATCATAGATTATTCTACAGCAAATTACTTTTTTCACTAAGTCATATATCCTGAACATCTTTCCCAGTAAGCATGTTTAGTCTGCTTTATTATTTTAAACACTAGATAGTATTTTGTTGAAGGAAAGCATCATAGTTTACTTATCCTTTCCCCTACTAAAAAACATTCAGGTTGTTTTACAGTTTTTCCTTATATCAAACGGTGACAGACACAATGACACATATTTTGGTGTGTCTATATTAATTTATACACAAGATAAACTCCTAGTAGAATTGCTTGGCCTAAAAATTTTAAATATTTATAAATACTGCTGTACTACCCCTCAAAAGGCTACATCAATGACCACTAAGAAAATGTGAGCATTCTTATTTCCTCACAGACCTGCCAACACTGGGTTTTATAAAAACTTCAAAACTTTGGTAATCAGATGAAAGTTACATCTGTTAGTGTAGTAATATTTTTATTTATGAGTGAGGTCAAAGCATTTTTACGGTCGTAGTTATTTTTCAGTAAACTAGTCATGTTCTTTGCTCACTTTTCTATTTAATTTTATTTTTCTTATTATTTGAAGTAGCTTTTTGTGTATATATATCTCTAAAAATAGCTATTTATTACAGCTGTTATAAATTTCATCCACTTTTATTAATCATTATGCTTTTATTAATCATTTTAGTTTATGGTACTTTTTCATGAAAAAGTTTTGTGCAGTCTAACACATGGATGTTTTCTTTCATCATTTTAAGATATTGTTTTATGCTTAGAGTCTTTCCCTCAGTCCAAGATTATCATTTAAATTCACCAGTTTTCTTCCAGTAATTTTATGGGTTCATTTTTACATGTAAATCTCTAATGCAAGTGAAAACTTTTTGCTCTACACCAATCTGTACTCTTCAGGGTTTTTGTTACAATGAGCATATGTTACTATAATTTTTAAAAATATGGTCACTAGCTAGTATAGTACAGTATCTTTCTATGAAAATCTTTTTTTAAAAAATCAATAACAGATGTAATTTAAAAAATATCAACATGCTAAAAGAATGAAATGAAGCTTCTCATATTTTGCTTTGAAATTTGAAAGATCACCATATGTGAGCCTCCCTCTGCTGTGACGTAACTCCCCTTCCATGCGTACACGCTGTTCAGCACATGAAGACTGCCAGCTTATTATTGGTGGCCATTCCTCCTTAGGCTTGATATCAATCCACAGAAAAAAAGGAAGAAAAGAAGTCAAGGAAAAGGTAATAGAGCAAGATATAAGTAACCTGTTGGAAGCAGAATCAGCACTTGTTACCAGGCAGCAACAATTCTTCTTGAAACATCTGGGCTACCCAATAGTACCATTTATTTCTTGACTCTGACCTCATAAAAATTTTTCAAAGCCCACAACCCCTGCAGTCCACAGCCCCCAAGTTTCTCCACTACACACAAAGTTAAGAGCAAAGGCTCTGGAGCCAGACTGCCTTGTTCAGTCTGGACTCCACAGTGAGCTCTTATCACATTTCTTGAACATCTCTGAGTCTCAGTTTTCTCACCTGTAAAATGGGGATAATAGTAATACTTAACTTGTGTAGATGTCCTGTGGTTAATACTTGCAAGCATTAAAACAGTGCCTGGAATATAATATACTCAATAAGTATTAGCTCTTACCTTTGTTGGTGACTAGTTAAGTCTATTTGAGCCACAGGTCAATTGTAGAAGTCCAAAGGAATATCAGAAAGTTAGGAATTTCAGGATATTCCAATTGTTCTAATTTGACAGGTTTGGTAAGATCATGTAACTTCCGACTTTCTATTTTGCTAAGCTATAACATGTATATAATTACTTTATTACAATTAACTGCTGCAATAAATATGTGGTTTGAGGGATACTGTTATTAACGTGATTCTTATTCACCTGACCTAAGACAAACTGTTTTTTCTCCAACTCAGTACTCTAGTCACTACTATTGTGCAGTACAGTTAGAGAAAGTTATTGAATCATTTCAAATCTGCTTATTGATGCTAAGATCGCAGTGGGTAACAGCAAAAAAAAAAAAAAAAAAACCTTAGTCACACGGTTAGGCAATGGCACAGTAATGAAAAGGAAAAGCATCTTGGCAAACTGCAACCAAAGTACAGGCTCATATTAGAAAACTACCTACCACATCTATATGTGGAGATATGTATTTTCTTTTTCTTTTTTTTCAAAAACTGCATTGATACAATTAAAATGCATTAATATATAATTTTACTCCTTTTTATTGTGCAGTATGTTCTCTTTCTGTCTGGTACATTCCAGCATGGCTAAATTCTTTGGCTCATTTCTTACAGTTCACTAATTTACACTTTGATATATTTATTTCGTTATTTATCTACCAAGGACTTTATTTCGATGATCTTTAGTTAAAAGACTAAAATTAATTCTTTAGTTAAAAACTGCCTGCTGTTATGGTTGTCATATCCTGTCATATCTCTGAGGTTATTGATTATAGTTCATTTGAAATCTTATTTGCTTGATTAACTGTTTCTTTGGGCATGTGTGCTTTTATTTACTGAGTTCGGTGCCTGTCTTTCATGGTGTTGGTTTTCCTTAAAAGCCTGGTGAGTCCTGGTTGGCCACTTGTCTTTCTGGTTGAGCATCCTTGCCTGCAGATTCTGTTCCCAGGAGCTTATCTCTGGTCACTGTGAATGGGCTGGACCAGAGGTACCGATAGAAGCTCCCCACCGGCTTCCATTCCTCCCACAGCTCACCACTCTCTGCTGCAATATTTCTCAACCTCTTTTTTCATTACTGTCCTCCTCAGAAGCCTTTTTAGACACATTCACCAAATCAATGCCTAACAGATACAGATATGCCATCTATCTGTTATTTACTGTGGCCCTTTGGAAGGCCGCAAACTATCACAACATCTAAGGTTTTTTGCTTCCTCTCCCCCAACCTTCCACCCAAAAACCAATTTTTTGCCCCAATGGGAGCAATATCTCCCACCCCCAGCAGAAAATTCATGCTCTGAAGAATGTCCCGGCTCTTCTACATTTACCTCTTAGTGGTAAATGCTCTTACTGCTTTCTGCCTACAAAACAGTTGCTCAAGGAACTCTCTTGCTCCTTCATCCAGTGCCTCTGAGCTTAGAACATGCAACATTCCCTAAAACCACCCTTACCTCTAAAGTCTCTGATACATTTGTTTTTGTTGTTGTCGTTGTTCTAATTAATAGCCTTTCTTTTTTTAGAGCAGTTTCAGGGGCACACCAAAATTGAGCAGGTCCCCACATACTCCCTTCCCTCCTCACACACAGCCTCCCACACCACCAACATCCTCATCAGGGTGGCACATTGATTACAATCTGTACTAGGTTTTAAACAGGTTTGCTCTGTTAATCTGCTGGTACGTGCTTTCAATATTTCTGGAATTTTTCAAAATCTCAGATCTACTGATAGCATATTTTTCTATTTTCAAGCCATAGTATGAATTTCCCTTTGTTGTTATAATTTTTGTAATTTTGAGGAACTGGGGCAGGTGGGTAGGGAGGCCTTTCTTCACAGTCTGCCATCTCAAGTCAGTCTCTTCAAGAGATCTACCATGATAAAAAAAAAAAAAAAGGCAGAGGAGGGAGTGGGTTAACTCTCATAGACTCTTATTTCAAGTTGTACCAAAGATCCTCTAATTTATAACCCAATAAGTCTTCTAAAAATAAAAGGCAAACAAATTATTCTAAACTAAATATCTAACATTTTAAATAAATAGTGTATGTTAGCTTATATATGATAAAGTAGCATAGCTCTATTTTATGAGTTCTTTAATGTACTGTAATTATGATTGTTGGAGCTTGTGATATATTTAATTTATATAACATATTTAAATTATAAATACTGTCTATTTAAGCAAATTTACAGAAAAAAGACTACAAAGGCCATTAAATTCTATTTCTATTGCTTCATATTTATTTTCAATCTGCCTATATATGTATTTATATTATATGGTTCAAATGTTTATGCTTACCAATTTTGCACTGCTTAATGAGTGTATGTGTAGGGGAGAGAATGTGGTATGTGTTTACTTATATTTACAGGTCTACAAGGTCACCATTTTGACTACCCATTACATTTCTCATATAATTATTAAACAGATGAAATCACCATGTGTACTGACATCTTGTTAGTATTAAGAATTAAGAAAATTTTATATTGTATCAAAGAGTAAGAATACTGTTAAGTAGTTTTACAAAAAAACTTATGCCAATTTATAATGTACCTTCAGCCCTGTCAAATACTGGATTCAAGATTTTTATTATTGTAGAAATTTAAAATTAGCATTTCTTTTTTTTACATTTGTGACTGCATTTTCCCACTTGATTATTTCCAATCTGGATTCTTACATGAATAAAAGTGGTTGTGGCAGGTTATATTTTACTAATCTGTCTGTAACAAACAAACCATTGCCTACCTTCTTTGACACTCCTTCCTTCGACAGTGCTTTTCCCCTTGATTTTGGGTGGCCTTGTGACTCTGGTGGAAGTGACACTGTGACCTTGAAGGTGAGGTTATAAAATTCAATACAGTCTCTGACAAAAGTCTATCAAAAAAAAAAAAAATACATGTATTCATAGATCTGACCCACCTTTCTGTGAAAAAGTTCAAGCAAATGCGAAGAGGCCCACGTGGAGTAGAACTTAGGACCTCAACCCACAGTCTTGGCTGGGATCAGTACAAAGCCAGTACTAACTTGACAGCCAAGTACATGAGTCATCTTGACTCACCAGTGTACAAACTCACCACCCATGCTATTACCCTAGGGATGGGGTTGTGCAGAGACAAGGCATCTTTGCTGAGCCCTGCCCAAATTAAAGATTTATGAATAAAATAAATATATTTTTTGTATTAAACTACAAAATTCAGGGCTGGTTTATTTCCCAGCAATAGATAACTGATACAGTGTACATTATCTCTTTTAACAAGTGCAATTTAAAATGTTGACATGCATTTGTTTAATTCTTTATTTGAAATGGTCACTTTTTTTAATCAGAGAGAAATATAGAAAAGTGAGAGATAGTATTCCATAATGTATAAGAGCACTCTGGAATTAGACTACCTGCAGTCAAGTTCTGCCCCTGCCAATCATGAGCAAATTATTAACAGATACCTTGGCATGTGGTAAATGGGGATGCTAATGGTAACAATCTCATTAGAAGTATTGTGAGGATTTAACGAGTTAATGTATATGAACTACTTAGCCCAGCGCCCACCTCACAGTAAATCCTGTTAAAGTGTTAGCCATTCCTAGCAGATACATATTTTCACATATGTTCCCTATTTTGATGTTTTTTTTAAAGATTGCATTAAGACAGGTATGTTTTCCTTACTTTTATACTTGGTATCAGCCAGGATTCTTTCTAGTACTATAACAGAAAACTCAATCCTGGGTAGGGCAAGATCTGCAGTTGGTTAGTTTATCATTTTGATAATGCCATCAAAGTCCCAGGTTCCAAGCTTCCGGTCAAGATGGAGAAGTAGGTAAACAGTGTGCTCACTTCCTCTCATGACCACATGAAAATTACAACTAAACTAAGAACAATCATCATTGAGAATCACCTGAAATCTAGCTGAACATAAGTCCTATAACTAAATGTATACAAAAGAAGCCATGTGGAGACTGGTAGGAGGGGTGGAGATGCTGAACTGGCTGGACCCACACCCACATGTGGCAGTTAAAAACTGGGAGGGATATCTCATCTGCAGAGATCTCCCCTGAGGAGTGAGGTGTCTTAGCCCTACAACAGGATCCACAGCCCAGGGTTCCAGTTTTTGGAAGAGAAGTCCCCATAATTTCTGGCTCTGAAAACCAGTATAGTCTGTAGCTGAGTGAGACAAAGTGCTGCTGGAGAACTAGGTGCTCCTCTTAAAATGCTCGCATACAAACTTACTCGCTGATGGACTCACTCACTCCGAGCTTCAGCACTTGCTCAGCAGCTCGAAAGTTGCCAAGGACAAAAAAAAAGGAACTGAATCATCTGGCCTCAGGGCGAGGGGTGGAGGTGGAGCTTTCTCCCAAACAGAAGTGCTGGCAGAAGTCATTCTTCCTTTGTTGAGCCTGCTCCCCACCCCTTGTGCAGACTCAAGCAAGAACTATATCTAAGTCTCCATCAACTCAACTAACATCTAACACCTTGCTTGCTCTGGTGATTCCCTGAGACCCCAGCACACCCAACATTCAGGCCCACCCATGCCAATTCCAATGGATTTTCCTTACAAATATCCTGTCTTGGCTCATGCTGCAGACTTTCCTAAAATCTCTTGAAGATTCACAAATCCCAAACAAGCATCTGTCCTCGGCATGTCTCACATCACTTGCTAAGCGGCCCCAAGCACAGCAGTAGTGGCAGCTAGCCTCAGTTTGCAGCTTAGTCTCTCCCAGGCACCTCTAAGCCCAATACAAATGGCAAGCATCTACGGATCACTTTGAAGCTTATATCAAGTGCCCCGGGCAGGGCACAGGAAGCTGATGATCTTGGCCTGCATCAGAGTCCCTCCCAAGAGGCCCCAGAACCAACACACCTAGTAGCCAGCTTCAGACCCCACCAGAGCACCACCCAACCACCTCCACAAATGGCACACGCAAAGGGGAGACTTGGCAGGCACCAGCATCCCACTAAAGTGAATCCTTCTCCATAGAGTCAGCCTTTACAAACAGCTCCACCACTACAGTCATGCCCAGTCCTCACACCGATCAGCCTGAGGGTCAGTCCCTCCCACTGATGTGCCAATAGCAACCAAGGCTCAACTACAACAGGTGGCCACATCCAACCCACGCAAGAGATACACCTGGAGCACCCAGCTCAAGTGACCAGGGAGACTGCACCACTAGGCCCCACAGGACACCTAATATATAAGGCCACTGAACCAAGATCAGGAGATGTAGCAGCACTACTTAATACATAGAAACAAACATAGGGAGGCAGCCAAAATGAGGGGATAAAGAAATATGTCCCAAATCAAAGAACAGAACAAAGTTCTTGAAAAAAGACCTAAACAAAATGGAGACAAGCAATCTACCAGAAGCAGAGTGCAAAATACTGGATATAAGGATGCTCAATGATCTAAGTGAAAACTACAACAAACAGATAGAAAACATAAAAATGGTGATAAAAGAAAAAAAACATAAAAAAAGAACTAGTCAAAAAAGAAGAATATAATAACTGAAATGAAGAATTCATTAGAGGAAATAAACAGTAGATTAGATGAAGCAGAGGATCAAAATCAGCAATTCAGAATACTAGGTAGCAGAAAACACCCAATCAGAATAGCAATAACAACAAAAAAATCCAAAAAAAATGAGAATAGTTCAAGGGGTCTCTGGGACAACATCAAACATACCAACATTTGCATCATAGGGGTACCAGAAGGAAAAGAGAGAGAGCAAGGGATTGACAACCTGTTTGAAGAAATAATAACTGAAAATTTCCCCAATCTGGCAAGGGAAATAGACATACAAGCCCAAGAAGTGCAGAGAGTCCTAAACAAGATAAATCCAAAGAAGTCCACACTAAGACATATCATAATTAAAATGCCAAAGCTTAAAGACAAAGAAGGAATCTTAAAAGGTGCAAGAGAAAAGCAGTTAGTTACCCACAAAGGAGCTCCCATAAGACTGTCAGCTGATTTCTTAACAGAAACTTTGTAGGCCAGAAGAGATTGGCACAAAATATTCAAAGCGATGAAAAGCAAGGATCTACAACCACGATTACTGTACCAGCAAGCTATCATTTAGAATCAGGGGACAGATAGAGCTTCTCAGACAAGAAAAAGCTAAAGGAGTTCATCACCACCAAACCAGCATTACAAAACATTAAAGGGACTAGAAAGAGGAGGAGGAGGAGAAGAAAAGATTAAAAATATAAATAATAAAATGGCAGTAACTACATATCTATCAATAATTACTTTAAATGTAAATGGATTAAACGCTCCAGTCAAAAGACGTAGGGTGGCTGAATGGATAAGAAAACAAGATGCTTACATATGCTGCCTTCGAGAGATTCACTTCAGATTGAATGAAACACACAGACTGAAGAAAGGGAATGGGGAAAGATATTTCATGAAAATGGAAATGAAAAAATACATAAATAAAAAGCTGGGGTAGCAATACTTATACCAGACAAAATAGACTTTAAAACAAATGCTATAACAAGAGACACAGAAGGACCCAGTAGTTCCACTTCTCGGTATTTACCCAGAAAACTTCAAAACATTACTTCGAAGCAACATGTGAATCTATATGTTCATTGTAGCATTATTTACAATAGACAAGATATGGAGGCAGCCTGGATGTCCATCAGTGGATGAATGGATATAGAAGAGGTGATACCTATATATAATGGAATATTACTTAACTATACAAAGAATGAAATTTTGCTATTTGCAACAACATGAATGAAACTAGAGGGTATTATGCTAAATAAGTCAGACAGAGAAAGACAAATACCATATGATTTCACTTATATGTGGAATCTAAAAAACAAAATGAACAAACAAAACAGAAACTCATAATGAAATTCATCTTTTACAAACCAATTTGTATGTCATTATGGAGTATTATCAACATTGTTACAATTAATATTACGTTTTCTGAAAATGAAGGTGACTAGTTGGATATAAGGATATGTTTCAACCTTTTGCAAAAGTCGATAATGCAACTAAGGTTATATTAACATCCAATTTTTCATGCAATAGTATTTTGTAGGTGTTACAGATAATTTTATATGAAATTCCCCAAGTAGTGAAAAAAAATATGGATTATCTCTGAACAACTGCAGGCATTTAAATTGTTTACATTTTCTGTTCTTTTTAAATGAATATCTCCTTTCTTTGAACCTTTATAGCATTATAACATTTATAATCTATACCATTTGAATATCCTCTGTCTTGCAGAGTTTCTATTTGTTTCACTTGTTTATTAGGCTTGTCTTCCCAACCATATTTAGCTGTCACTCCAAGGCAGGAATTTTGTTTCATACTCTTTTTATTTTGCTACTATAATTTTGCATAGAGTAGGTTCTCAGTAAACACTTATTCGTTAGAGTTCTCCAAGTAGCCCAGTGATGGTTCCTAGAATAGCATGGATATTGTGTATTACCATGTATATGAGAGAGCATGGAATGCACACCTACAGTAGACTGAAGAATGACTCCAAAGATATCAGGTCCTAAATAGAGTACATAAATATTACGCTACTTGGAAAAATAGTATTTGCAGACATAAGTTAAGTATCTTACAACAGGGAAATTGTCCTGGATTATCTGGTAGGCCTTAAATGCTATCATAAGTGTCCTTACAGGGAGAGGCAGTGAGAGATTTCATTCACTGAGAGAAGAAAAAGGAGAAAGAGGACACAGAGAAAAAAGAGTAGAAAAAGATTTAAAGATGCTGGCCTTGAAGATTTGTATGGTGAGGCCATAAGCCAAGGAATATCAGCAGCCACCAGGAGCAGGAAGAGGCAATGGATAGATTCTCCCCTGCTGCCTCTGGAGGGAGCGT